ATAACTAAACATGCAGCTCACACAACAGTATTCAGACAGCTGCACATATATTTGTTTTTCAGACACTTTCTTGTCCTCTGTATATTTAATCTGAATTGCGCCACAACTCAGATGTGTGTGTGTGAGCTTGGACTTTAGGTGTTGAGACCAAAGTGTACTGCCACACAGGAAACTAAATGAGCAGTTATGTGTCATTCCAGGATTATTAATGACAAGCAAGGGCAAATGCCAGTAGAGAAAATAAGGAGATTATGACCAAAAGCATCCCATGTTATTTGTCAAACATGGTGCTGTTATTGTTATAGCTTGGACAAGTAGGGGAGCTGGCAGACCAGCACCTACTGATGATTTTAACTAATTAAGAAAGCGATAATATGAATATAGAGGTACACAGGAGTATTCTGTTGAGCCAAACTCAGCAAGACAAACAACAAAGCTTTTCAGGCTAAAAAGGTGGAACATCCCCATTTGGTCCAATCAACTGCAAAGATTTCGATCAAATTGGGTGCCTTCAACTTGCTGAAGATCTGAAAAAGACAGAGGGACTCCATGACAAGCTAGAGCTGACAACGGCTGGTCTGAACATCACCCCTGAGCATACACAGTGTTGGGCGATGTCTGTGGGATACAGACGGGTACTGACTAATGACGCAGGCATAAAGTCCACACCAGAACATCGATGGTGTAGTAGCTTATCCAGTACATAATTCTTCAGAATTCACAGCTTATTTCCCGTAAAAAGAACACCTACTAGCTAACCACTGTGTGCAAATTTTAACCAAAATCTGCCATAGAAGGAGCATGGACTCTTTTGAAAATGGAAAAGTGCCCATAAAAAACAACAAATGTGACCCTGACCTTGTGCAGATTTCAGGTGATGACCCACTGGGTGTAAGTTTGAGTAAATTCTGACAAATACTGTAGGATGAGTAACAATTCTTATGAACTGCAGACAGATGGACAGCAGGACAACTCATCAAGGCATAAGCTGATTGGTGCCTTGACCAGATGAGCTAAAAATGAAATTGCATTTTTCTTTACTTCGTGGTAATTGCCTAGCAACTTTTAAAGCTCTGAACTTGGAGCAACATGTAATGAAAGGATATGTCTTTTACACAAATACTCACCCAAACCTACTAATTAAAGCCTTTAATAGAGCCTAAATGTGCTTAAATACAGAACTGTATAAAAAAAATGTCAAAATACTTCTGACTACAGTGACTTCAAGAGCTAAACTGGTAAAATCGCAGTATGAATTAAACCTAAAGCCAGAAATCATTGAAAAATATTCATAAGTCAGTGTAGCTGATCATTGGCTAATAATCAGTCCTGCTTTTTTTTTTCAAATTTACAATCTTAAACCCAACAGACTGAAAGACTGAGACAAAAATACCCCCACCCCTTCTACCCCACAATAAAGCAGCTCTCTCACTATTAGAGTATAATATCACAGGATCTAATTAGAATACCGTGTGCCTCCTTGTGCTTTGTTTACTGTCATGTGAGTCATTAATGTTCAGTTTGTACTCGGTTGATGATGCTCTTTGTTTTATTTTTAGTTTGTGCTGCGCACTGCGGACAATTAAGTTCCCAATAATATAATTTATTAAAGGCATACAAAACAAAGCTATAATAAAAATGCAACGATTGCAAGGTTTCGATTAACACGGTCCTAACAGGGTTCCCAGTGGTAAAGCGATGCCCTGCTAGAGTCGGCAGGAGCACACGAGCTGAACCATCTGCACTGAGCTGCAAATGTGGTAAACCTGCACATGGACTTAGTGGGTGGAAAAAAAATCAATTTTGATAAATCCTCCTTAGTCACTACAAAATTACAAGACAAATCTGTTGAACAACATAATTATATATCATATGACAGTTGGGAGTCTGATCTCCTGTCTTACACGTACCATACCTTTGTACCTGAGCCTACACTGCCATCTGCTGCTTTATGATTTAAAAACACACCAGAGGCCCTGCAGAGTGGGTGGGGTGATAGGTCATGTGTTGCATTCAAGTTCTATTGTAAAAACCTAACCTTCAAATTATTTATATATTAAATCCTTAAAGGACTAGCACCTCCTTTATTTACTACATTCGTATTTCGGAAAAATGACTTGGAGATATAAAAAAAAAAATCAGGAATGAGATGAGACGTTTGTTTTCAAATGAAGAAAATATCCTTTAGCCAGCTTCCCAGTTCTGGAGCATCCTTCCCTTAACTCATTGCCCGATGACCTCCCCTGTACCCTTAATCTAGAGGTTTTACACATCAGGATATATCAGTGAAGATGTGGTTTGACGGTCATTAGACCAGGTTCAGGTTTTTTTTAGGGTAGCCCTGAAAGTAAGCTGTACACACAGAGATCACCCTCCCTGAGTTCTGATGTATACCCAATCATATTGGCCTGGAATGAGGCCTAAAGTGTAACAAAAACCAGGGTTACTGCTAGTAAATGTCCGAGGCTAAAAGAGGTTTTGTATGCTCCTCAAAGGGAATGAGTGGTTTCATTTACTTCAGTTTAAAATACAAATTTGTTTATCAAATGGCAAAAAATAACAGCTGTGCTTACCTGCAGAGTCACCCCTAAAGACCCATTTTAAGCCAAGAAAAACCCTGCGATGTAAATGTGCCCCCTTTGCTTTTACTATTTTTGCATTAAAAATAATGCTTGTACAATATTCTTGTTCAACAGTATCTACTATTTGCTGTTTGTATCATAAGTGTGTTTTCTTTGCTCTGTTCTCTTAAGCTTTTTATCCTTGTTTCGCTTGGTTTCTCCAGTAATGGCTCCAAATGTTGTTCTTTTAAGTTTTATTGCTTTTAATGGCTGATTTAACATCTGGAACATTCAAAGTAATGTTGATAAATGATGTGAGTTGTCTCGGGGAAAAAAGACCAAACAAATAAACTAATGTTTGTAAGTTTTGCATTTAAAGCTTTCATTAGGAAATAATTATTCAATATTGTAATAAATTGCATTTGGCGCTTTGCATATCAGGGGTGTAACCTCTTGTTGTGGTGTGGTTTTATTTCTTTGTTTTTATTCAACTCTTTACTTTTAATGGAATAAGGCACAGTTATTGAAAAATAGAGGGCAGTCAAGTGAAGTAAACATACCGATTCAGTGTCATTTGCCGCAGTGTAACACCATGACATGAATTTACTAGATCAATATCGATGATCAAGCGTGGCACACCTGCAAAACACTTGTAAGCTTATGCTTGCTTCTCTCAGTCTGCCACTCTTACCAAATATGGGATACAAAAACATGGCTGGAAACACAAACTGAAACCATGATTCCTAAAACTGTTGGGATACTGCATAAAATTTCAATGTTATAAAGGAATGGAATGATTTGCAAATCATTCGCAATAAAACAGAGGAAGAAATATCATGTGATTAAAGTTAGAAAATGCACCATTTTAAGAAAAAAATAAGGTCATTTTGAATTTGATGGCAGCAACATGTTACAAAACAGTTTCGCTTCTTATACCAACAGTCGACAGGAATGCTTCCATTCTTCTCTGATATCAGATTCTAGCTGCTCTGCGGTCCTGGGTTTTCTTTGTGGAGTTTTTCATTTCACAGTGCACCAAATGTATTCAGTTGGTGAAAGCTCTGGCCTGCAGGCAGCAACTGCTCGCTTCTATTCTGAAGCCATGCTGTTGTAATAGATGCAGTATGTGGTTTAACATTGTCTTGCTGAAATATACAAGGCGTTCTCCGAACACGTTGTCTGCATGGCAGCAGAACTGACGGTAAGCTCCCAGATGTTTAAGCTGCCAGTTGCATCAGCACTACTGCATACCCACACAATCAGACATGCGAGCTTTTGAGTTAAGTGCTGATAACAGGTCGGGTAGTCCCTCCCCTTTTTAGTCTGGAGGATGTAACGTCTGTGTTTTCCAAAAAGAATTTAAAAATTTGACCTATCTGACCACAGGACAGTTTTCCACTTTGCCTCAGTCCATTTTAAATGAGCTTTGGCCCAGAGAAGATGGATCACGTTCACGTTTGGCTTCTTTTTTCATGTTAAAGCTTTCCGTTTGTGGATGGCACGGTAAACTGTGATCACAGACGATGATTTCCCGAGCCCGTGCAGTAATTTCCATGCCAGAATTATTCCTGTTTGTAATCCAGTGCTGCCTGAGGGGCCAAAAATCACAAGGACAGAGATTTCTCCAGATTCTCTGAATATTTTGATGATGATATGTAGGCCTAATATAAGTGATGAGATTAAATCTTCACATTGAGGAACATTATTCTAAATTGTCATAATTTGTAGACACAGGCTTTTGAAGATTGATGAACCTCTGCTCATCTTTATTCCTGAGAAATTCTCTAAGATGCTGCTTTCACACCCAATCATGTTACTGACTTGTTGCCAGTGAACATAACTGGTTGTAAAATGTTCCCCCTGTAGTTACATTTCCAGCCTTTCATTTCTCCCTTTCCCAACTTTTTTAAGATGTGTTGCTGCTATTAAATTATTTTAAAAATTGAATATTTGTCACGAAATACTAAAATGGTTCACTTTAAACATTTGATATGTTTTCTATGTTCTGCTGTGAAATCATTCTGATTTGACTTCTTGGGAATTGGAACTGCAGTTTCCTGATATTCCTCAATTAGAAAAGCACTGACTGGACTCTCACTATACCACCAACAATAAGCAATGACATACTGTGTTTTCTTACCTTAAATCAGGTATATTTTTTTTGTTATTAGTTTAGTAGGATGCAGATCCGAAACCTAGATGATGTTCCAGTCTGTCAGTTTATGAGATCTGGGCCTATGTTTGAACGCTGTAGGTGAAGATACTCAACAATAACAACAACAATAACAATATTAATATTAATGAGAATAATAATAATAATAATAGGGGGGTTGTATTCAGTCTCTGGAGAATTTCAACCCATCTGCTGCTCACTTTTTCAAACAGCACTTGAATGCAGCTGCTCTAATCTGATCTAATCTGGGCAGCAGCCATCACCAGATGAGCAATAACATCTGTGGATACCAGCTTTCCCGTTCAAGTGAAATTAACGCGTTGCTGTCATTTTCTGGAAGAAAATGTCGATAACAACTTGCCAGAAGGTTACTCTTATATCATGCTCTGTTCTCTGCGTTTCTCTCTTTCTACCCAGGATGCTTTTGCCCAGAGCGAAACAGGAGATGGGGCAGCCTGAGGGTAAGACGGCTTATCAGATCATCATCCATCCCCATCCTGCTCCATCTCCAGTGTTTTTTGTGTCAGTGCTGCTGTTGTTAATGCCAGCTGTTACTCAGTACAGACCATGCCAGGCACAGAGGCCCTATCCTTCATAGTCCACACAAGTTAGCTGAAATCTTACACTGTACAGCGAGTTTAAAAAAAAAAAAAAAAAAAAACTGCATTCACAATATTTTGAAGAACAAATAATTTAGTTGTTAAAACACATTTGAATCAGTTTGACCATTTATCTAAATCTGAAACAAGTGATGTGTTTTTGTATGTTTCCTATCATGTTAAGCATGAGCTGCTGTGTTTACAGACACAGGTGTGCATTGACTCTGACAGCGCCTTTTCAAAACTTCTCATTGAAGCAGTTAAAAAACATTCACAAGAAACACAGTATGTGACTTATTTGTTATTTGACTTTAGCCTGATATCAGTTTCACACAGTCACGAGCACACACCCAGAGGTGCTGTCAAAACGGATCAGTCATCACAGCAGGGACATCTTATCAGATATAAACTGGTGGTGATTTCACACTAGACCATAAACAACTGGAATTTTCAAATCTAATAAGAGGAAAATTGGTGACCTTATACGAAATGTGAACATACTACAGTCAAAAATACAAAGCTACTGTGGATTGCACGTTATTCTTAGATATTATTTATATGAGGAATGAGCCATTTAGAGAACAAGGAATGTGGTTAGTGATTTGGTTTTAGACATTAGGGCACAGTTTGCTTTTCTTTGCTTACACATTTTCACAGCCTAATAACTACAACTTGCTTTAGGTTCACTGGCTGTCTTCAGCTAAAAGCAGCAATGGGTGGTTACGAAATTTACCCAAACAGTAACCAATGCTGGCCAACAAACAACCCAAGGAGACTAAATATTTCAAAATGTTCCCAGGCAGATATTGACATGGCAGTTTTCCAGACTACTCTCTGTGCTGTGTTTCGCCTAACTGCTGTAACTGAGCCAGTTTATGCCTGCTAGCAACCACTGACTGTATAAAACAGTACAGTCTGTGCTAGCACACGAATATAAAGCTGCAAACTTTCCACACAGTTTCTTACCTTATTAATCCAAACAGAGACCCTCTCACTTCTTTACAGCCACATTTAAATGTGCCCAGTGTTAGGGGACGCAAACATTTAGCTGTTTGCTAGTTTTTCAGTGTGTTGTGTCCGGTTTTCACCTCTGACAGGTGAGACCAGAGCATGCTAACATCCTCATTCTCTTGGAACCAAATGTGTGTGTGTGTGTGTGTGTGTGTGTGTGTGTGTGTGTGTGTGTGTACCTTCTCACTTTGCAATTTTTTTTCCGCAGGCCGATTTTAACCAGCGTCCCAGTCACATCTTCCACTTGTAGTGCTAGTTAAGTCCCAGATGGGAGCAGCAGCGAGCTTGATTTGACATAAATGATGAAACATGTTGAGCATAAGCATCAGCAGGTCTGTGTTACTGCACAGAGGAGTGTCAACATTCTCGAAACAGGCTTCTGAAAAAGCAATAACTATAAATAAAAATAAATCCAAATGTAGGCATTTCAGCTTTCCTGACTGCTTTGACCTTCTTATGCTTTTGACATTGTTCTCAAATATTGATCTGATCCCCATGAATCTCTTCACTTTATTTGTTACAAATTGGATCTCTTTTATGAATAATAGTTAATATAGAGGAAAAAAGTGTCCCCAACTGGGCTGGACCATCCAGTGGGCATCATAGGAATGTGTCCATGGGTCCATGCACAGTTAGGGGCCAATCTAAGAGGCATTAGACATTATCATTATAAAACACTGAAATGTTCTGGCTGCTTTATCTGACTACTAAAGAAAAAAAGAACGAAGCCTAACTATGAAAAAAAAAGACACATTTCATGGATAAATATTATCAAATTAATCCAGAGAATGATAGCATTTAAATAATCGTAAAGTAAGTAAAATCTAATTAAAGATACTAAAAGTTTAATGGCTGAGGATACATTCCCCGTGATATGTTTTCGGGGGGAAATTGCTTTATTGATTCTTATTAATTGAATGAAAGACTATTTTTGCAGTTGGACCTGGGTTCTACCCTCCCGCCATGCACAAGCTAACAGTGCCAGAAGACCCAGAACAGTGGGACGTGGACCCTTCGCTTTCAATGACACACAGTTTGGAGGCAATGGCAAAAGCAAAAGGCATCAGACGAGGCAAAAAGTACAACCTGATGACTCAAGTGATACCCTTATATGGCTTTGGGATCCTTCTTTACATCCTTTACATTATACATAAGGTAATTTTCATTTCTAGAGCTTCTATATACTATTTGTTATTAACTTCATGCAGAGCTATAGTATGGTAAATGTAACTGTATACTCAATTAATCTAATTATAATCATGTTTATGTTCACAGCTGACATGTAGGGGGAAGGCTAATAAACCAGGGAAGAACTCTGCAGTAACCGTGGGAACCAGGAAGAACACAATAAGTGAGAGAACTACGAGAAATCATTTTCTTCTCGTGTAACTTCGAACACTTTTTTCTGATACCTTTGACAAGCTGACATTAATACAATTTACCACACCAAAGGTAAAAAAAAAAATGCTATAGTATAGGAATTTAAGCTATAGGCCATTTTAAGATTGAGGGGGGTAGGTTTTTTGACGTGTCAGAGTGTGCATTGTGTTTAGTGCATTATATTTTAACATCAAAACAATGTTGTCCCGTGTAAATTGTGTAGTCACTGCTAATGAGCTTGCCAGGCTGCAGGAGAGACTTCTCCAAACTGAAGAGATGATGGAGAGGATTGTGTCCAGGAGGAACAATAGTTCTGGGAGGTGAGACTTATTTATTCATTTATTTTTATCTGCTTGTGTTTTACTTCCAGTAGCACCACAACAACAAAGAAACTGTGATGAATTAACTAAGTAAAGACAAATAAAGAATATGTAGTCATAAAATACATTTGTCATTTTTGGACAAAATAATTAAAAGCAGAAATCTGTATGCACCGTAGGGATGTGTAACTGAATGTAACTTTAAAAAACCTGTTCATTAATCATGTATAGAGTGATATACACAGGCAGGGTTACTTTACTTCACTCTGTGCTGCTCTCTAGTGGTAGACGAAGGAGGAGTAAAACCACCACGTCGAAAAAGGAGGAGAAATTACTCAGGCAGCTGAGACAGATCACACAGCTTATTCAAGAGAGCCGATTGGAGGGAGCCTCCCCAGAGATGGAGGCCGAGGAGGTCCCATACGGTGCAGACTGGGAAGGTGCATCTGAAATGTCGAACTGCTCCCATTTTTTTGCACAATTTGCATTTGCTCAATTTGTTACAGCCGTGAAATGAAGTGCATTTTAAATTTGAGATCAAATTTAATCTCACAAATCCTCACAATAAAAATCTGATGAAGTCTCTTTGAACACCAATGCAGGTTACCCAGAGGAGACCTACCCAGAGTATGATGAACCTTGCCCCAGACGTGGGTTTAAGACGGTTAAACTAGAGGAACCCCCCACACAGCCCACCGCTGAGGCCCTAGCAGAGAGGATGGAGCAAGAGGAGGAAGAGGTTATGGCAAGGAAACTTTCCATAGTGCGAGAGGAAGAGGAAGAGGAAGATGAGGAGGAGGAGGAGGAGGACACAGAAGCACAAGATGATGAGGATGAAGAGGAAGAAGAAGAAGAGGAGGGAATAGAAGAAGTTATGGGAGTAGAGGAAGACATAGATGAGGAAGAGGATGAGGAGGAGGAGGAGGAGGCAGAGAAAAGGCAGTTGCTCCGTCCTCCATCATCCCAGCCGGGTCCTGAAAGAACGACAACAAGAATTGGTTTGGAGGTGAAGAAAGAGCTGCAGTGTAACAATAGCGGGAAGAAGCAAATCAGCTTCAGCGAACACAAGGATGTCTTCCACTACCCTAAAGAGGACACTTACGAGGATGGGGAAGAGGGCAAGGAAGATCAGATGGAGGACGAGGACGAGGACACAGAAGTGGAAGACGAGGAGGAAGCTGATGAAGATGACCCAGTGATGGAGGCAGAGAGCCTGCAGTTCAGCTGTGATGGCAGTTCAAACCCAGAGGAGGAAGCAGAGGAGGATATAGAAGGCAATATTTTAATGTCAGCAAATGTGGAGGGGGAGGGTCGAATCTATGCAGACACACCCAAGGAAGTCGGGATGAGCGGCCTGAGGATGCGGAACAGGAGGGAGACATAAGGACTTTTTCTGCTTCTGAAATGCGTTTGAAAACAGACAGTGAACTCAGACTTGTGTTACTATTACTTCCTTATATGTTTAAACCATAAAATCCAAACTAAACAGAGGCATGCAGTTATGTTCTTAAGTGATACTTTTGTACAAATAAATGTTTCCTTTTACCACAAGCACCTCAGATGACTGCAATGCATTTTGTTTTCTATTTACATTCACATTTCCAGAACAATTACACCCCTATGAAAGATTTAAAGGGGATAATAGTACTTTTTCATTCAGAATTTCACGGTTTCTTCTTTTAAAACCTATTCAGTACATTTGCAATATGATAAACGCTACATTCATTGTGTTAACCTGTTATAATTTTAAAAGCCGTCCACATCCACGGTGTTCACCCTCACAGCTGTTTTCACTTCTTTGCCTGATTAAACCACTTTTTAGGTCAGTGGAGATCTCTATAACAGTGCTCACCCAAATGTTCAGTCAGTCAGGTTAATTTAATCATCTGTGTGGGTGTGAAAAGCCTTTAATTTAAAGAACTGAAGGGCAAGTCTCCAGACACTGAGGTCAATTAAATCTTGATCTTGGCACCTGAAACATTTTGTTTCACACAGTGTGAAGCTTTCTATCTAAGTGTGTGTTTAGTTTCCACTGCATGTTTCCAGAATGAGAGTGTGCTTAATGACAAACATGGAGACGCACAGATGACAATGGGTCCAAGTATCATCCTGATACTAACAGCAGTCAGGGTGTCGTTACCTAGTCTGTAGAGGTCTGTCCATCCCTCCACGGATATGCCTCCCCAGACCATCACTGACGCACCACCACACCAGTCATGCTGAATGATGCTACAGACATAATTACAGACAGGGCCAGGTTCGAAAAGGGGCAGCCAGCTGCCGTGACCTGTTGGTAATGAGGTGAAAAAGAGAGCAAAGCACACAAAGATTGAGTACGTGATACAAGATTCAGTCATTTTACGATGTTTTATTTGTATTGACTGCACCTGTTTATGCATATTTGGGTCACTCTACTTTTCAGTTGCATCAGTAAAAATGCTAAATTTGGGGATTTTTTCTTAAAACAACTTTGTTAACATAAACTTTAAAAGACAATGTAGCAGGAAATCTCAGCAAGTATTTGGGGTTTTTAATGTTTTTACTAATGTTTTTAATGATTTACAATGAAATATTTGGTGTGTACTCAGAGGTTTTCTGGTTAGAGTATCTAATCCAGGTTGATTAGAATAAAAGTTGGTCCTATAAAGCAAGATCATTAGAAGAAACTCAACACGATTTATTGATATATACAATTCAATTATGGTATTTGCCAATTAGACTCTGATGGCCCTTTACAGCAAAATTAATGAAAGATGAGCAGTGCGACTTAAGGTATGCCGAAGACAGCAAGCAGAAAGATGATTGGACGACAACGTTTTACGTTACGGGAAGGTGGAAGTGATGTAATGAATAGCAGTCAAACACCTGAGGAAGCAGACAGATGAGTGAATGCAGATATTCCTTCTTGAACTTACGCCTGAGCTTTATCACACACCTGGATTTGTAACCAGAAAAGTAAAGTACTGTAACAGTGTTTATTTCTTTTTTGTAATAAACACACATGACCATATTCTATGATCGCTGTACTAACTTCTGAAACATCTGGATTCTTGAGGAAACAGAAAGCATATTTTGGAGTATTTTTATGTAATTTTATTTCTTTTTTTCATGAACAAAGGACTGTGTACCACCAAAGTAAATTGTACACCATTTACTGTACATTACAATGACAGCACGAAAAACAAAGTGACAGAACCTCTGGCTCTTGGACACATGTATGAAAAGCAGACTTTACAGCAAGAGTATCAACAGTTTTAAAATAGAAATTTGAAATAGTTAGAACACAGTTGAGTACAAGAATAGCACATTTGATAAAGATTTGCTCAGAACCCACAGTAACAATAGTGGAGATTATTCGTCACCTCCATTCAGCATTTTTTTTTTTTAATGGTCGTAAAATACAAAATACCGTCATATATTTGAGAAAGGATACTGCCCCATAAGGAGCAAGAGGAATAATAGTTTGAGTAAAAATATGAACAGCAATAAACTACGTGATATAGAAACTTACTGCCAGTCGGATGAGGAATGTATCATACTCCATCTCAGTGAAGCACAGAGCTAATTTAATACATAAAGCAAAAGATGGAAGATGCATCGAAGCTAGTTTCACATTGTACGAGTATGTCTGTTGGCAGTAAGTCAATTTCTGTTCGGTACATTTTCCAAGCAGAGATCAGAAGATACCAGCACAACCTTAGTGTCACGGCTGGGCAGCTGGTGTGTTTAAGGTATGGACCCAAAAAGCGGACGTGAGAGAACTGAACTAAAGTTAAACAAAAGGCGAGCTTTCATTTGGGCTGACACAAGAATCAAAAGCGAGAGGAGGACTAGATAAGCATAAATAAAGAAAAAAAAAAAACAACTTAACTCGACAGCTAAGACTATAACTTTGACTAAGACTGACATGGGGGAACACAGGCAGACGACCTGACAACGAACAGTAAGAGACAAAAGACTTAAATGTGCACATGAGGTGATGAGGGGAAGTGGAGACACGTGAGGAAACAGCTGACTAGAATGAACATAATGATGCCACAGGAAAATGTAAACCTAAATACAACGGGCATGAAAACGAGACTTTGAAAACGGGGAAGCTACTAAACAATGAACAATAACAGCAACCTAGCATAATAGAAATGAACTACATAAGCTTAACTAGAACATAAATGAATAACTAAAAACACTGAGCCAGGACCGTGACACTTAGGCCTGAGTACCTCAGATATCTGCTATATATCTGCTGCCTGATTTACAGTATTGTGTAAATAAATAGCCATCTATTTAGTGCAACATGTTCTGGACCCTAAATATAATTTTAAGTTAAAATCTTAAGATGCACACTTATTATTATCTTCTGAATGTTGTGCAACCCCAGGCATTGTTATTCAGTCGAAATGAACTTTCATTAAAGAAAAAAAAAAATTTAAGTAGCTACAGAGAAATCCTCTCGGTGTATGTGAGGAAAGCAAAAAACGCAAAGACCAATTCAAGCTCAGCTCCTTTTACGGCCAAGGTGTAACACTGGAATTAGTCTTCAAAGGCACAATAAAGTATGTACAGCTATAGCTCATCCACCACAGACTTCAAAGTAAAGTGCACCATCATCCTACACATTCACGTATATGACACTGTGACACAATATTGTATATGATACACAGCACTGTGTAACATGCCTTTCCCCTTTTCATACCTCTAATTTTTTTTTTGTTTTTACTGTGGATACAAGTGATCTTCCTAGCATGACATTTAATGTGCTTGCAGTTCCGTGGAGCGATTACAGCAGAATTTGTTGCAAATGACAGCAGAGAACATAAAATGTGCAGGTAATAAATATGTCAATAAAATAAATACATTGTGACATGCATGTTATTATTAATTCAGTAAGTATATAAGCAGTATCCATGCTCGAGGAAGCGTGTGACTTTGTGTTGGTAGACTACATAAACCCAGTCAACTTTTTTTTTAAACTTACTGATGTATAACGGTTAGTTATAGTTCACAGATAAAGAAATGTTAAATTACTAGAACTACTACATAAAGAAACATATTTATAATGCCAGTGCAGTACAAAATGACTATAGTTATCAAAACAAATGAATCTGATTTGGAAAGTGGATTACTCTTTGTGCTTGTTTTCTTCCACTGACAAACACCATCCTGAGGTCCCACCCCACCCCCACACACATACGTACACATAATTTAAGTCCCATAAAGCATTTCAGGATATGTGGGACTTCCAAGGTAACAGGTGATCTCAAATCAGCCCCAGTGATACATAAGCAGCCCTTGTTGAGACAACAGGAGGAGTTGTTATCCACTGAACTTCAGGCTGGAGTCTATTCACAAGCTAACTTGCTGTCAAAGCTGGAGAGGGCAATAGCAAAGGCTTGCAGGGCACACATTGGGTAGTTATAGTCCATGGTGAACACATCTTCTGCCACACGGCCAAACTGCATCACAATATAGTCAGCTGCAGAGGGACAAACAAGTGGGAAACAGATTATGTCTAAGTTGATTTGAAACATTTCCCCTTTTTACTGTTTCTTCACAAAACTCATAAATACCTATTTCTTTATGGCAATAATAATACGCATAACTGACAAAATAAACTGTATGATGTAAAGTATAGTGTAAAATAATCTGCCCCTCAGCAACAGTTCCACTAACTTTCTGTAGTTTCTCTTTGGCTGCTTTTTCACTCATTTTCAATCCAGTTTTTGTTTCTTTCTTTGGAACTATGAAAAAAGCCAAATATAACACAGTTTGATGGGCAAAAAATTGTATTTTATGCCAGCAAGTGAAGCAGTGTGGGATCGTCTCAACAGAGAACAGAACAAAAGGCATCCAACATTCAAGGAAGAGCTTTGAGAGTCCTTCAAGAAACCTGGAAAACTATTCCTGAACACCCCTGAAAGAAATTACAAGGAAGCTTGCCAAAGAGACTTCCGGTTGTGTTAAAGAACACAGGTGGTCATAAGAAATATCCAAATATTAATTTAATTTCAATCAAACTTGTTCAAATGATAAAGACTCTACTTTTGCTTATATCTTGTTTTTCCATGCAAATTTGCACACTTTTTTGTCAATAACTGCACACATTTTCCATTTTTACTTGCAAGATGTAAAAAATGAGGGGAATTTTTCACCATTAGTGTACAGAGCCATAAACATGAAGAAATGTTATATTTGTTATATTTATAAAGTTATTTTCTAAATCTGTCTGAGAAGTACCTATATGTAACAAGTTAAAAATAATACTGTCTAATTTAATAGCATCCACAGTATCAGGTTATGTGGCTGTCTCAAACAGTCATTGGGTGAAACAAGATTATAAAACAGAATCAGACCTTAGTCTTTAGCCTTTGTTAAATATTTAGAAATGTTATGTGTGGACGGAAGCTTACGGTCATTGTCGTGAATAATTTGGAAATTCTTAACGGAAGCCTGAGTGACTCTGCCGTGGAAGTTGAGCACGTAGGACTGTGTGTCATCGTTCCACACAGGCGTCTTGTTGTGAAGTTCAATCACGCTCTCTGTGTTCTTGTTCTGCCACCTGGCCAGCAGTGACTCATGATCCTGTAATGAAGAAGAATAGAAAAGCCTTGGACATGGACATCATATGCATTGGATCGATTAAATAAGTATTAGAAGAGGCTGAACTGGTCAGAGGAGCTGCGACTACTGAGAAATTGGGCAACACATACATTTCGTGGCCGAATAGAAACTCTCTCGTGGTCCATGTTCATTCCGGGAATGATGACACTCATTTTTCGAGGCCCTTTAAATCCTAAGACATTGGTTTCCTACATTTAAAAAAAAGAATTAAAAAAGACAAACAGATCACCTCTCAATGCCCTTTCTTAAACAAATGTTATCCTAAGGTGGATTACTGAATGTTATTTCTGGATGCAGTTATATAAAGCTCTACTTTTCAAAGCCTTAGCTTTAGCTAATATTTGTCGTTTTGCTCACTGCCATCGTAGGACGACCGGCTGACGTCCAGGTCATTTCATTTTTGACCTATTTTTAAACCATAACCTGGCAAAATGTATCTCATTTAGTTAACCTTTATTTAACCATGACGCTCTTTTTCAAGGGAGACATGGCCACATCTCAATTTTAAACACTGCATCTGAATTTTTGCAGTGCGTTGTACTGTCATGTATAAGGTTGTTGTGGGAGGTTTTTCAGATCATATAAGTACATTTCTCATGAAAACAGATGATCAGTTACTATGTTGACAGTTAAGATATTTGCTAACTATGGCTATTTTAATTTCCTGTTTATGTAGCTACTTAGAGCTTGAATCACAGCTTGGGCTGCAAATAAAGGATGCACAGTGGTTGCCTGCTGCCAGGGCTTAGACAGGGAGGACAGAGCTGCTCCATTCACAATTCTGCTGCAACTTTTTTTCCATTTCTGCCTAATGCAGTTTTAAACAGGTTACTGGAAAAATGCATTATTTTAAATCAGTAGTATTACAGCATATTTCTAACAAAATCTAAATAATAATAATAATGCTGTATCTTTTCAGCAACGTGAAAACACAAGTATAGTCAAGTATAGTCTAGCATTTTGATGAACTCACATAGCAAATGGCTGCTAGCTCTTGACGCAAGTTGCTAGCTTCGAGGCTGGTGGTGCTCTTCATAGGGTTCAGACCGTTGTCATATACAGTGAACTTAGTTCCCATGAGGTTTGATCTGCAAACAAAACATTACACATTAAGGAATGTAATGACTGTTTAAAACAAACACCAGTGGTGGGGCTCAAACTACCTGCGTAAATTAGCAGTTTTGCTATAATCTGGCATGTTTACATGTTATATTTTTCATAATACTTATGTCCACTAACATGCGCTATCCCTGCTAAATATATAAAAAACAAATAACTAGAAATAACAGGTATCCAGGTTTAATTACATAATGAAAACAGATCGCTTGAGTTTTGAAATATGACCTGAGCTCCTTTGCAACAATTGTCATTGGTGTAAAACTTGTGTTTTTGTGCTCTCCCTGGAGTATAACTCCCTTTATCATCTCATTTAGTTTTAACTGAAACCACACCTTACAAAATGAATTATGTTGTATTCAGTAAGACTTAAGGTAGCGAACGAGATCATAAATAAATCGTCAAGAAAGTGTTCACAGATAAAATCATAAGTGGAGTGATTTTTCCAGAGCCTTCTACATACTGTCTGTGGATACAAACTGAAAGGGAAATAAAAGCAGAGTACAGTGTTTGCAAACCACTGCATGCTTTTGACTTCATGCCCCTCTAAATATAATTGTGTTCCACTCGAGTTCGTCCTTGTTGGTTTATGGCTCAGCAGTGATTGATAGACTGGATTTTGGCAGGTGGGTGGTCCAATCTAAATCCTGACAGACAAGGCAAGTGGCTAGTGCTCTGTCTTTAAGTGAGTTCTTACATGAGGCGAACACTGGCTGAAAAGTTGACAAATTATGGCATACAACATCCTTGACTCGATTCCCAGCGAGAGCACCTTTGCTTAATTTCATACCACCTTCTCCCTCCCTACCCCACTCGATCTTTTTTTCTCATACCACATTTACTTTCATATTTTGCACTCGCTTTTCGCTTAGAAACCTTTTTCTATAAAATGAGGAATTAGAAAACATATTCTTCGCTGTACTGTAGCGCTGATGTTTGATGTATTGTGCTGTTCAATCAATCATTAATTAGTTCTTATACTTTTTAGACTGTCAGTCATTAGTTCTTGCACTGCACACCAGTAAATGGCAATAAAGACAGAATCTGCAGGAAAATTTGTCCAACTATACTCAATTCCAGCTATGAAATAACCATTTATCTAATATTGGAGAACAATATTTGCATTTCTCGGTTATACTCATCCAATGTATTTTAAACAACTTTGACTTGACACCTACCTGTGTGGTGTAGGTGGTGCCATTTAGAAATGCTTCCTAAAAGCCGTCTCATTTAGATATCTCATTTAGGCCAAGGACTGATGAAAGGTCACTGTTCGTTCCAATTTAGACTGCCATCATTCAAGCAGGACAGCGCAAAGCTTTGAGCGGTACATCGACCAGTGGTCCAAAGACTAAAAGGTTGCACAAGCCCATATTTGATTAAACTCTAAAGGGGCTTCCATGGAGCCTTGAAGCTGTTTCTAATGATTATGTCAATCATGTTTTGTTTTTGTTTGTTTTTTAAAAAATACAACTAGATTAGAAATAGTAGTGCGAGCACTAAAGTTAAATAAGAAATCCAACACTTAGCATAATTACTCAGATTATGTACTCTGATCTGGAAGAAATTATTCAACAGTTAAAGTCTTGCACTTCTTTACTTGACAACATCCCCAACAAACTCTTCAAATCTGTGTCTCGTTGTTTTACAAATCATATTATCAATAGCTCTCTCCAGACTGGAATTTTCCCTGTTTCTCTCAGATGTGCTGTAATCACACTGCTACTCAACAAGAACAACTTAGAGTCATTGGTAATGATTATAGAGGCATTTCTAATCTTTCATTCCTCAAAATATTTAAAAAAAAAAAAGTTTACAAACAACCGGATGAATGCCTTTCAAATCACAGCATTTATGATGAGTACCAATCAGGATTCAGATCTAATCATAGCACAGAAGCAGCTCCTGCTAAAGTCATCAATGACCTGCAGATCAACAGAGACTCACAGAGAGTTGCAGTTTTACTTCTGCTTGATCTCACTGCTGTTTTTGACACTGTTGATTATGACATTTTAATTTAAAGGCTGAATGACTCAGTTGGTTTACCAGGTCAAGTTCTTGATTTGCTCTCATCATACCGAAAGAGGATATAGATGTTATGTTCTTTCTTGGTACTATCATAAAGAATCATAATATTATCTTGAAATTCTTA